TTATATTAATATCTACTCTATAACTACTACTTTATTATTTCTTATAAATAAAAAAAAAACAAAAAAATTATTTTTTTTTTTATTAGCTAGCTACAGCTAGCTACTACAAACAACAACAAAAATAAAAATAAAATAAAATAAAATAAAAAATAAAATAAATAATATAATAATATAATAATACAAATAATAAAAAAATAATAAGAGCCAGCAGCTAGCTGCTGATAGTACTAATAGAGTACAGCTAGCTACAGCTAGCTGCAGTTATCTGCCGCTATATGTAGCTAGCTGTAGCTAGCTGTAGCCGTAGCTAGCTGTAGCTAGCTGTAGCTAGCTACAGCCATCTGTAGCTACCTGCAGCTAGCTGTAGCTAGCTCTGGCGAGCTGTAGCTAGCTGTAGCTATCTGTAGCCAGCTCTAGCTAGCTGTAGATAGCTGTAGCTAGCTGTAGCTAGCTCTGGCTAGCTGTAGATAGCTGTAGCTAGCTGTAGCTAGCTGTAGCTAGCTGTAGCTAGCTGTAGCTGAGTATAAGAAGACTGAAACTTTAATCTGTCCTCGACGCCTGGCGCCTAAGACAGCAATAACTGCGTTTGCAAGCAGCAGCAGCAGCAGCAGCAGCTGCTGTTGCTGTTGCTGCTGCTGCTGCTGCTAATGCAGCTGCTCCTGGTGCAGCAGCTGCTGGTGCAACTGCTGCTGATGCAGGTGCTGCAGCTGCTGCAGCAGCAGCAGCACGAGATGGAGACAGCTGCTGCTGCTTCTCTAACTATCGAATAACACAACACGCCCACCAGACCACCACGGCCTGCGGGCCCCGAGCCTCCTACATGCACGCATGCATACATGCATGCATGCATGCGTTTGGGGCTGTGCATGCATGCATGCATGCGTGCATGCACGCATGCATGCATGCATGGGGGTAGCAAAAAGGTCCCTCACACTGTTTCTCTGTGTGCTGAGTCGGTGCTGCTGCAGTGTGCATGCAACTGCAGCACCAGCAGCTGCAGCAGCAGCAGCAGCAGCAGCAGCAGGGAAGAGAATGCTGCAGCTAAAACACCTCTATACTAATAGCTGCCTATACACCGCAGCGGGGCTGGCTAGAGTCCCCTGCTGCCCGGGGGGCCCCACACATCCTCAGCACCAGGGGCCCCCCAATACGTACCATGGGGGCCCCCCTATTACTTGGGGGCCCCCTGTATCGCTTGGGGGCCCCTTGTCTTACTCGGGGGCCCCCCTATGACTTGGGGGGCCCCCCTATTACTTGGGGGCCCCCCGCTAGTACTTGGGGGCCCCC